GTACAGTACATTTATGTGTCTTGTCAAAAATATGGTCGAATCCAAAAAAATACCAATAACCGGAAGCACTCTCACCTACATGTACAGGTACAAGTATGTGTACCAAGTGGCCCTGGAACAATACACCTACATATACATACAGCATGTTTTAGATTGCTGTCCAAAAGATCAAGGTCAAGCGTAGATATAAATGTAGAGTCAACAACTTTCAGGAAAAAGCACCTCCCCCACTGGAAAATTAACCTTGCAACAGGCAAGGAACAGCATGGGGGAGATTGGGTCTACGATGTCTAACAGCTGCCAACATTAAAATTGTAACCTCCAAGAAATGTCTCAGCCAAACTACTTTTGCTTGGTCGGCATATGGGGCCATGCATACTGGTATGTGTCTGGTTTATGCTGTGTTGCCAGATATGAACAGGAGGTGGCAGTGGTTCAGTCTTGCATGGTGCAACTGTTCAAGTAGACACAGTCTCACCACAGCAGTGTTGGTAGCAGAAAGAAGCAGACAGCTCAGGGGTACATAATGTAATTTTTCTCATGCACTTTCACACTCGGATCATCAAGCCATTCTACCAACTGCCTGGTACGGTAACAAGCAGCCTCGGACACAAGTACTGGTACTGTACAAGTTTCATTTTGAGGAGCAATGTACATGTACCCCAGGGTACAAAGCATGTGTCTTTTATCTTTGCAAGCAATTGTAATTTAGTATCATACTGTTGTGTTTGACGCATTACAAGTGCAGGACATATCGGTACATGTACCGTACATGTACAGTATTGTCCACATTTATCCTGGTTTATACGGGTACATGTACGTTTCTCGTCATTTGTTACCTTTTACATGTACCATACCGGTAGGTGTTGGGCATTGGTTTGTAGTCTGTCTGCATGCCTGTCAGTGTTTGTTGGTCTCTCTGGTATCTGTTTGCAAAAAAGCACCACCAAACCATCATCCTTTTACAACTGGACTGATCACATTTTCTGACTGAAAACCGCAGTCTAAATTACCAATCGTGGCGATTTTGTGACTTCCATCAATCTCTCGCGGTGACGTTAGAGAAACATTTTGCTGCATCGTGGCCTGTTTGACCTTTGACATCAACCCAGATAGTGCGCCCTCTTTTTTATTCGATATTCATGAGCCCCTCCACGGAATGGCGACGCTCTGCGATTTTTCTCTTCAGAACAATTTTACTCAAAAGAAAATCCGTCATTCTGAATGATGTTTGCAAAAAAATGACGTTCGAGACATAAAATACGATTCATGATGAAAATCGAATGCTCAGAGTTGTTAATTCTAATTTCATTTTCAGCGGAGTTATCTCCAAAATAACCGGCAAAATGAAAATCGTGCATGGGATTTTCGAGCACTACACGTGACAGCATTTTCGGCATTCTCGAACTTCATCAAAATTCTGTCAAATATGATGTTTGCAACAAACATATTGTACTCATTATAAATTTTGGATGCAGCTAAACTTAAAGATAATTTTTGGTGGTCGAAAGATACATGTACAAGACCTGGCAAATATGTTGGTATAGTGAGAGTGATTATTAACAGTAAGAGAATGAAGAGAGCCAAACGTTTTTCATCATTTTCCGTCAATTTTGTGCTCTTTTTTTCGTGGCTTATATTTTTTAAAAGTTATTTCTTAGGTGCTTCAAAATACATCAGTCGAAAAATATACTGAATTCTCCTTCTTGTTGAGAGGAGTTTTGAAATCAAGTTCTCTGGTGTAAACACTTTGACGTAAAACTTTAAATGAATTCAACTCCATTTGATTTTGATTTGACTGGTAGCCAACCAAATGTCCAACATAAGTCAGGTATATTCTGCCTAATTATCCCCATATAATCATTTTTTTAAATCTGAAGGTGCTAATTTGTATTTTACATGATCAAAATCACTCTTTTAGAAGTTTTGAAAAATGATATCCGGAGTTGCACTTTGGTCCACTTTATGGAGACCATGCCATATACAAAAGTGGCACACAAAACTACAGGTACCGGTATGGAGACACTCCTGTTCTGCTTAGAATGACATCTATTACATGTACATGTATGTACTTTGGCTCATGAATATGGAAATCTTCAATATAACAAATTCCAAAATGCTGAAATGTCTCCCTTTGACTGCAACCAAGGAGGTGGAAAGTCAACGTACATGTAACATTGACAAGTACATTTTCAATTGTACTCATAAAAAAACCATGGACAGTGGTTTTGACACTGCGGTTTAGGCAAAAGTGCTCTTCTTGTCCATGTTCTCGTCTAAGAACAGCTTGTATTAAGTAAGTTTTTCTCTCACAGGAATGTGTACATTTTGAATGGGACTGAAGAAATATATGCTCGTAGTAAGCGCGATCTTGTCCCAAGCATGCTAGTGTTAATCGCGTTCGACTGTATATGAAAATACATGTACCGGTACATGTACCTGTACATGTACTAGCACTGTACACGTACATGTACATGTACATACATGTAAGTCACTTTCAAAATCCTATTTTTATGTACATGGTTCCTTTAAATAAGAAACTGCTACATGTACAAGGAAGGCCAAATTTCTTTTTCTTTTACATCATCAATTTTGTTGTGAGAAGACATATGCATGTGCAAATACTTTCACAAAATTAAAATTAGCCACAGGGGATGCAGAATTGCAATGTTGAGCTTTTCAACCAGGGTTTTTCTTTTGGGATAATGTTGACAAAACAATGTTTTCCTCACATGGAAATTCTGGAGTGTGAATTTATGAAAATGTTTCTGGTTTCCTGAACTTTCGAAGCACATGTACCGGTACTCGTATGAGCGTATGACTACATGTACAGTGTATGTACAGCACAATTTATATTTTCACAAGTACCGTACCAGTACATGGCAAATATTTGAAATAAATACGGCCATTTGTGCAGAGATGACAGAGATTCAATGAATTTACAGACATGCTTACTCTATGTACATACATGTACATGTACAAGTGCCAGGTACATGTACATGTATACAATATATTGTACAGTAGTTACTTTTGTGCATGGCAATCAACAGTAAATGCCTGAAATTCCATTACACTTCAATCCGGGCACATGTACAGCTCTCCCAGTAAAGTGCATACCATATGCTGATCCACAGACCTGTCAAAATTCAGCTTCGGCCAAGCTCAAGTCATACAACGATTATCTAGGGGGACTGCAATGCCTTCCATTCAATTTCAGAGTAAATATCTGGTGGCCCCGGCTCGCTGCAATGGCCAAGCATGAGCATTTAATGTGGTGGTTGAAACCCAATTACAAGCAGTGCTCCAAGGTGCGGAAGGAAGACGACCTGACGACCATTATGCGGACCCTTGGAATTGCAAATGGCCACTTGATTTAGTCGCCAGGGCTGGGTCATTGAGGACCTCTTGGGCCAACAGGTTAGATATTTTGTGAAAAGACAATTATTTGAATTTTGAGCTGCAGCTGTGTGCCCATGGCACATCTCTCATTTTCTGATTGAAGATCTTTGTCCTGAAGAAAAAACCTTACAATTTTGTTTTTTTCTCAAGATGAAATGAAATCCTAACATGTGCACATAGCAATTAAAAGCAAGCTCCTCAAGAAGAATGGTACTGGATTCAAAACATGAGAGAAACTACATGTAGGTAGATGAACATGTTGACAATCCATCATATATAAACAGTACAATGTTAGTCCTTCCTTGTTGGAGAGGTTGAATTGCTTAAATTATACACCTTGCAATCACTTAGATGTATTTAAAAATCTTACAAAACTCAGGGGTGTGTTTTGGGGAAAATGAAAAATCCACAAAACATTCTTCGGAGGGTTTTGCAAGTCGCGTTGGCCACAGCTTCCCTACAATTCGCGGCATATCTATTTGATTACAGGAGGAGATTCAGGTACTACATGTAAGCCAACACAAGAGCTGTTCTTACTTTGAGGGATACAATTATGACATTTGCTGCAACAAAACCCTTGTCCTTATTCACTTCAATTGCAATTATACATGTAAGCTATAATTGGTGACAATCAAAGACCTACAAGTAGAAGTGTAATACACACACACATGCAGTTATCAGTGATCGACAAAATTCTATCTCAATTTATTAAAACTGAAAACTGTCTCGTACAGATAAGTACTGCATTACTTGTGACACCACGTGCACTTGCAGTACCCAGGTTTGTTGATTTTTAAATGTACGAGAAAGTCACGATAATATATTGATAATATATCGATTTCCCCTTGGTTAATTCTCTGTCCACCTCGGTTTCCAGCCAGGAAAATTTCCAAGAATTCTTTAATCCTTCGTCTAAATTCAGATCCCCTTCCCTACTTACTACCTTGTATGACATTTTTGATGGACGTCGACAACACCAGACCACCACAAAAACGAAACTAAACACAATGGCAAACGGACGCAAGTTGTACACAGTGCATGCAATGACAACATGTGTACTGTGCATACACACACAGCGAACGTACAGTATATGTACATACAAGGATCATACTGCTGGCCTGGGTCCCTATGTTTTAAATATGATACCCCCTCCGTTCAATGTACATGTACTATTACTTATGTATCTGGCGCATTTCCAGGGGGAGTAACAAGCAAAAGCGTATGCTAAACACCTAAACTTGTGCAAGTCTTTCACTTTGTTTGCACCAAATATTGTAGTCTTTGCATTACATATTGAAAGCGTTGATAATACAGAAATCCGGAAAGTCTCACAGAAATTCCGGATAGTCTCACAGAATTTCCAGAAATCCGGAAAAATCCGGGCAAATTACACCCCTGAATACTTCAAAGTAAAGTCAACTACTGTATCTGTAGTGTGACAAAAATTTTCTCTGAGGATTTCAAAGGAAATTACTGCAAGCATACATGAAAACATAGACTATGTACAGCATATAAGTACATACACAGAACAAACAATATCACAGCACGAATTTTGTGATCATTTGCAAGCATGGTTCAATGGTTTATAAGATTGGCCTTACTTTCTCCAAGTTCCAGCTTGGATAATTGCAGATTGAGCTGGTGACAGCGCCTCATCTGTCCTCATAGCTTCTTCAGCACCAGGGTCGCTCATCTGGGAGTAGCGACCCCAGTTGGGTGACCCAGACATGGCCTTTGACCGCTGTACAATTTGTCGAAGGACAAGAAACTTGGAACCACAGATTAATGAGGGGGATCAGTTCGTTTCCTTGTACTCTGGCTCATGCGTCTGCTTCATCTGACAAACCTGGAGTGGACAGAAAACAGGAAAACAGATCATGAAATACATGTACTGTAAATGCATTGTTACGATACATGTACTTGTACATGTACCTCTTACATACATGTATATTCATGATTGAGAAAGGAACTCTCATTGGTCCATTCATCATCATAAACCAGTTGCTGTTTTTGCAGTTCAACCATCGAATACACAGGTACCGGTATCTTTGCACAGGTCAAATACGACTGCCTACTGAACTCTTCCCCAGGAACAGTTCAGTGGAATTGTTGCCCAGGTAATAGAGTGCATGCATGTATGTACTCCAAGCCACTTGTGCCTCGGATAATGAGGTACATGTACATGTACATGTATATCATTCCTGATAAAAATGATATCATTTCTCAACGTTCCACAGTTTCGCCTACACTTGCGCGTAAGATTGATTTCATGATGCCACTTCACAAGGTTCCACTTACTGGTACGATTTGGATAATGTTAGAAAGCAAACTACATGTACATAAAATTTTGGATTTTTGCTAAAATATTCTTCTCCACTGTGTCCAGAACCAAAGAAACCCATGGTTGGACAAAGTCCCTTGTATTTTCAGATCTATGGTACACTGTACTATGGTAGTGGTCTCATATTGTCAGGTAATTGTCATAACTGTCAAATTTGTCATTATCATGTCTGTTGCCAAGATGGTGTGAAGGTCACACGCCACATGTAGCAGTAGTTAAACCAGAGGTCTGAAGCTTTAATACACCTGTACTTAAACGTAAATCTATATGTAGTTGGCATTTACCACTTGCACGTACACGTACCGGAACAGTGGTACATGTAGGTCTCGATTGGGTAAGGTCTGAAAGAATGAAGACTATTCAAATATATTCTTTAAATTTTTTGTCTATCTCCAATTAAATATTTCCAGGGTTCCTCTACACGCATGCGCTAACAACAGATGAGACAAACTGTTATTAATGCAGATCACTTGCAAGGATGGCTCCTCTAGGGGAACCAACATGAAGACAGCCAGCAGTTTAGGTCACTGAGGCAAGGTGTGATGATCATGTGCAGGGGATGAACCCTATGATATTTCCTGCAAGCCCTCCCGATGGATGCAATGAACGTCTTCGGTCAAGTCGGCGAGGATTCAGTCCACGAAGGTTAGGTGAATATCATTAAAGGAACATTACAAACCGTGCGCATCTTTTAAAGGCCAACTGAGTTGTTACAAAATAAAAGTAAATATGAGGGAGGGATTTGGACTAGACAGGGTGCAAATGAAGACTCAGTGTTAAAGGAGAAGAAAACAAAAAAAGAGAACCCCGAGGAAATTCCTCCAGTGAACCTCAAAGCAGGAAATCAAGTTTGTGTGAAACATGCATCAATATACTACGTGTGCCATTTGTGTACATGTACAAAAACAAATACCAACGAGTAGATTTTTTTTAACCCTTTCCTATAATTCACTTCACTTCCAAAATTATAAATTCAACGTGAAAATTATATCAGCTGTACCCTTCCCTTTAATAATGATCAATAAAGCCAGTCATCAGCAAAAATGCAAAAAGCCATTCAAGTCTCAGGTTACATGTACAATCCAAATCCATACACAGTGCTTCGTGTATTTACGCATGTATTGTACTGGTATGCTATAAACCTCACCACGGATTGGAGTACCGTGCACATTATTGACACATTACAAGCGCATGTACCGTACTGTACATGGACTGGTACGTACAGTACTGTGCATGTAACATCCCCTCCCCACTGAAGAAGCAACAGACATGCAAAAGCTCACACAAGGCTTGGAACACTGAGCAATCTCAGATTTTCAGTACTCCAAACATGAATTAAAATACTTCTTAACTGAACTTACAATGTATGGGTGTTCATATACATATACCCGCAACCTCCTGCTTACTAGTGCAGACAGAATCCTAACTTGATCCTAACTTTTCCTCACAAAAATGACAAAAGCGGTGGAGGCGTATCTCCTTATGTACCGTACAATCTACCAGTACAGTAGTTGCACACAAGTGTGGTAGCATGTACGTGTACTAGTAAGTACATGTATGAGTACATGTACAATGTAAATGTACATGTTCACGTAAACACGTACATTTCCACATGTACATGTGTAAATGGCACACACATGGTAGTTTAATCATGGAAGATTGTAAGGAACATCCTGTTTGTGACCCAGATAGACTGTTTTTTGAGAATTGTAACTGACAAAACTTTTTTCTGGCTGTGGGACAGTACAAGCACTTACTCCTACTCAATTTCTACATGCTCCCAAAATAGCCAGCCAGAGGTGAAAGGAAGGGCATGTTTAATGAGTAATACTCCTCCGGTGTACATGTAAGCATACATGTACTGGTATGTTATCTATATTTAGATTACATGTACACTACATGTAGGTCTCTATGTTCCCACAAATAGCAAATGAGGCTGTTTGTAGTCTTAAGGTTCAGTGTATTTAAATACATTTTTCTGAGCTCCTCTGTGAACTGCCTCTGCGAACTGCCTCTGCCAAGCCACATTCCCTCCTGGGTCGCTCTTAATGTGCACTGTTACGTGTACAACACATGCATCCTAATCCAGCATTGCGTTATAATCCTACATGTACATGTATGTCATGTACAACTGTGAGTGCAAAATTGGGTCATCAGCGGGCTCAAGTGGCAGCCAATTAAAACCCAGATAGAGGATGTTCGAGGATTTACCAGTACATGTCCGGTACAGTACGTACATGTAGCAAGGGGCTGTCCCCAAAATGTGCTCACAAAGAAGGGAAAGGTGTTGGCACTGCAAGCATTATGCACACAGGAAGGGGGGGTCCTAAGCCAAAGCTACAGCACATGTACCAGTAAGTACCGGTATGCGTTATGTGCTGCATCGAGTACATTCTCATGAACTCAACTTACTGCACATGCATGGTACACTGTACATGTACAGAATACAGAACGTGGTAGGGGACAAGTCTACAATGTTATTGATGGCTTCTAGGGGTTGGATCAACTTCAAGGCATCTATTAAGACAGGTGACTGTCAGGCCTATCCAAACTCACCATTCTCTTAAACCCATGTTTACACCAGAGTCCAGCTATCGGTACCAGCTGGGTTTAAAATTAGTGACTCAGCAATGTTGGCTATTATCCTAAATGGTGAGAAAATACCCGGTATTGTGTTACATGTAGGCCTACCGGTACCAGAAGCACTGCATAAAAAGCAACTGTGGCCAGAACTTTGGCTAAAATTTGTCCTTTGAATCCCAAATTTTCAAACCTGATCCAGGGTTCCTTTCTGTCAAGCAGAAAGCATCTGGGTCAACCAAAATGCTGCAGGTACTGGGGTTTGTCAAAATAGTACCACCCTTGAAATTTGGAAGAAAATCTTATCTGCATGCATTGGTACATGTACAGTGTACTTGTATCATCCAATTACAATATGTACATGTACTGATATCAGCACATGTATAATAAACATATCCGAGAGCAGAAAGCAATGCAGTGACACTTGGTATAAGAATACCACATGGCTGATTTACAACATGTACCATTCTACAGACCCCTTGCAGCTGGTACCTACATGTGTAGTAACAGCTCCTTTAACATGGCAAGGAACCAATGAAAATCCTGAAGTGCAACCCCTCTATTTTGAGAACACACTTGAAGGAAGGGGCCCAAAATAATTTTGCCTTAATCATGATAGCAAACGGAAAACTCTAAGGGCTAGACATTTTGACTGGAGACATGCATTAATGCATTGATGAGTCACCAGAGTTTTAAAAATCTAATATTAAAATTTGTGGATGACCTTTCACACAGAAATTCAAATACAAGTTAATGACAAATGACTCATACATGCACATGTACATGTACCTTTGGTACAAGAGGTACAAGCTGACTACATGTATGTACGGTATATACATGTACACATACTGGGTACTTAGGTACTGTACATGTACATATACAGGTACGCCGAGTTAAATCACAAATTACTGTGCTAAACACAAAGGTTCCCTCTTACACAAGAGATGAATACCCACAGGGGATCACAAAGATGACGCAGTTTTTGCAGGAGCCATGAGACATTTCCTTCTGACTGCACAGCTAGTAAAAATAGCTCCTTGAACTAGTTTCAAGAGTACAGGGTTTGACGCATCGTTAAATGAAGAAATACTTGTATAGGTACACTGTACAAAAACTCAGATACTTGTAGCATATACAAGACAAAACCTGTACTTAAAATTAACATCTCCCCTACACAAAGTACATGTACATCTTGAAATAGTCTGCGGTACCCACTGACTGCGGTACATCTGACTCGGACTGGCCAGCCGACCTTGGCAAACTCGGTGGTTGAGTGGTCAAGACATCTGCACTAGCAAGCAGGAGAGGTCGTCGGTTCGAGTCCCACCTATGTAAGCTTGTGATTTTTTTTGCAAGCTATTGGACAAGCACTGAGTATACAGTGTTTATAAATATACAAGTACATGTATATGTCAGGTAAGGACAAACCTGTTATTAAAGTTAACATTTCCCTGACGCAAGGTACATTTTGAAACGGTAGCAATATACTGATAAATTGAAAATTATTCATCTTCCTATGCAGGTTGAAAACTTCTGTAAGGTAAAGTCACATGTACATTCTATTGTTATATACCTGGTACATGTACATGTACAATGCATGTAAAAATATGCTACAGCTGAACAATACTTTATGCTCCGACTTGTAAAAGCTTTTGCAATTCAACATCATCTCTTTTCACAGAGGCTATTCGACATAAATGATTCACATGTATATTTGGGAATGACTACATGTAGGCCTATGTACATGTACCGAACAGTACGATGTACCGGTAGATCCACACTTTTTCAAAACAAAAGTTTCTTTTCAAACTGTCCCACCTAAATGTAACCTTAATAACAACCCTCCCAAATAAACATCAAAGTTCACAGACATGCCCATAAGAGATGACTTCCTTTCAAAGCAAAGTACAATTCCCATTGAATGGAGAAGACAATGACTAATCACTTTACTACAAGCACGACAAATTTACAAAGACCTGTAAAATAAACAAGTTTGTGTATGGCTCTGACTACGTTTGGTACCTGTATAGAGTGCAAATAACTGTGCAGTTTAGAGTACAATTAACATGTACCCCTATGATGCTGGGATGGAACTACGTGTATCAAACAACTGAAGTATAAAGACAGAAGTTCAGTACCTGTTTGGTACCTGTACTCTTATCATGGAATGATGGAATGTTCAATTCCAATGAAAACATTAGGTTCTGACACTCACTCTAATAATCCAAAATTCTTCGAATTCCACCAGAAATCAGAGTGTTTTAGAGGATTTTGCATGTACATGTAAATGTTTTATGCACACTGTACCAGTGCACGTAGATGACGAGTACATGTACTTCACATATACATACATGTACATGTACATTGTATAAATGTAGACCATTATAAAGAATGTCGCATGGGCTGATATAAGTGGATTTAGAAAGGTACAAATGTATTTGCAGTAAAAAGGTTTATTGGTTTCCCAACTCCTCAAAACTTTGAGTGGATGACAGAGCAGCTAAAAAGTGAGACATTGCAAGTACAGTAAAAAATTTGTCTACATGTAAGTGCACTGGTACCTTTGATACCAATCTGTACCAGTATTTTAATAGAAATTCAGAAAAATATTGCAAGAACTACATGTACATGTAGAAGTGTACTTCCAGTCCATTCTGTAGGCCTACAAGTACATGTACAGAGCATGTACACCGTACATGTAGGTAGATGGAATGTGCACACGCCCCCAAAAAATACATACTACAAAAACTTACTGTGCTTGCTGGATGAAAACACAGCAGGTTCACCTTGTATGCACTGATGAAACCTGTGTAAGTCCGCAAATATACTGGTACGGAAAGTGAACAAAGAGGTACTGATGCCTACAGCTACAGCGTAAATTATATATACCGGTACATCATACACACACACATACATGTAGGTAGGCCTACCTGGTAGTGTTGTGGCGTTGCTGCTTTGTAACCTCACTGAGGTCAAAGTACTGGTACGAGTCCAGCAAGATCCCACATTTGAAATACACATAGGTCAGTACTTCCAGGATGATGGGGTACATTAACTGACAACAAGTTATACAGCTTCCCTTATCAGGACGTATGTACACAGAAGTGTATAGCCTCAGACAATGGTGATTCATTCCCAGTCAACACACACTGTATGGTACCAGTGGATTATAAAAAGGGACTTGTCTCCACCCTTAAAAATATCAAAGTGAATTTTCTGGTCCTTTGCCTGTTTAAATATAAAACTGCATACATGTACAGGCATGACAATATACTTAAAGAACAAGAACTTTAAGCCGAGTATTAAAAATTCAGGCGATAGGGCTTTGCAGTGACTTATATATGTACATGTACAATGTACATATTGGCCCTACATGTATATTGTACATGCACATGCACATTTGTACAGTTAATCGTGAAGTTAACTGAATTCCTACCATTTTCCAATGCACTAGTTTATGTAGAGAAATGGAAAACATTTTGCATGCAATGTATGCAACAGAAGGAATCAACACAGAACAGAGGATCTTTCTGCATGTGCATAATGCGCAGGAATACCTTGTGGTGACTGGTAAGGGATCATTTCCTCTCATTTGAAACTTCATCTTTTCATCCACTTCCAATCCCTAACAGTCCCAAATCCTATGATTTCAATATGATTTTACATACACCCTAGGGCCTCGGCGTCCTTCACAGTCACAGCCAAATCTGAGACGACTAATGATGCATGCATTATTGACCATTTGGCCTATTACAAGTACTTGTACTATAGGGTGTGACAGGACTTCCTGAATCTACAATGTACGAATATTCAGGTATAAGAGTATGTAAATCCATCCCTCTAGGCAGTTTTTGTAATAATCTATTTAATTAGACAGGAACAGATGGGAGAATTCCGATCTTGGGGGTTTGTACTAAAATGTTCATTAGTTACTGATATTACACTCAGCCCTTAGTTACAGATTGAAAGTGCTTGGCTTGAGGGAAGGGGGGGTTGACACCCTGACTTGAGGGTCCGCTCCGACTTTTGTCTCTGATTGTTGCTGGCCATGAAAATATGATATGTACAACTTGTACATGTATGTAACTTGAGACTGATCTATGTTGGAAATACATGTAGATGTACCGATACTGTATGTGGTAACTTACAAATTTCTGAACATTGTTCTGACCATCTGATACAATCTTGGTTAAAAACCTACTCAGTAAGATACATTGGATCTAAATTGAAGTAACTGTCAAACAAACTTGACAACTTGATCCTTGTGTATTGACAATGAGAAAAAATACAGGAATCAATTGATGGGGTACCAGATTGGATCACTTGTGAATTATAACTGGTGATTGTCAAAATTCACAACAATTGCAGCCCTGTTGATGCTATTATTAGCTCACATCCTGTTGTTTGATGAATGAAACGATTTCTTCGTGACCCTTCAGCCTAGACGTGGGCTGTGCTCCACCTTGAGGATGTAAGATAATCCCGCGGATCCTTGCAATTTAATTTTCAGTCTGTGCAACAGTAAAGTTCAAACCACAGTCAGGGAAATGGTAATTAAATGCTGTCAACCGGCCAGGTACATGTACATGCAGTCACTCTTAACTTTGAACAAATGAGTGCACTAAGCTATAAGACAGGTACATGCCACCGATGCAGTTTACTCCTGGAGGTACAGCAGCTCTGCTTACATGTACAGGTAACATCTCAAGCCAAATACAAATGCATTGATACTCTGTGGCAAAACCCAACCCACTTTACACATCATGGGATCAATTGAAATTCACAAATACCTCAGACAGTCTCCCTATTCAACAACCTGCAACTTGACTGTGTATTTGATAACATTTGATGATACCCACTGAGATGCCCACATCGTGTACCATACGTATATACCGGTATGTGGAATGTTGGCTAACATTTTAGTCCTTGGTCAGTCATTACAAATGAGTCCATACATGTATACTGGTACATGTATGCCATATTGAGCAAAAAAAGCATAGGCTACATTGTAGGCTGTACTTGGGGGGCCCTTGTCCTAAAGTTTTAAGAAACTGACTAGGCCTCGGTCACACTCAGAGTTCCATACAAGTACCGGTATGTGGACAACACTCATTTTCCCTTGCAGTAGTTATTATTAGTCATCAGAAAGTGATAAAATGTCCAAAAAAGTTAAAATTTGCAAAGACAATATTGAAGCGTTAACTTACAAAAAATTTAAATTTTTCGACCAGTCTCAATGACACTGAGGGTGTAATGGATCTCTTTTCATACAGCTCAATCACACAATGAACTGACATGACAGACATGATGTACATTTAGCCATGATTAACAGACACACAAAAATTTTTTAGGAAAGAGTTCCATGTAATGATGTATATGGACAATCCGGACAACATTTGATGCCCCCGTGCACAAACCAATGAGACTTGTCTGAAAAAAATGAGGGGTTTCCAAGTTAATGCTTCGGAATTTTCCTTGCTAAATTTCACTTTTTAGGACATGTATAATCACTTTCTGACAGCTGCTGTAACATTTTAAGGGAAAATGATTACTATTACACTGTAGTAGTGTTGCCCCTCCAGGGTTGTCCATAACTCTATCCATTTTTTACCCGAACTACGTGTAGGCCTAGTACTGGAGTACTGGTAACTGTCCTTTTTATCATTCACAGTTAGGGCCTACCTAACATGCCTAATTACTGTTTTCTTGGGATAAGTCGACCATAAGAATCTTCATCTTAAATATCGCGTCAACAGGTCCAGGACAAATGCAGCATATGCAGCACCAGTAGGCTGGATGGGCGAGTATGTACGCATGTACATTACCAGTAGCAGTAGTACTTGTCATGCTTGTGCGAAGTGCGCCGGCAAGACGATATATACCGTACATCTCCCCAGGCCTGCTGTGACAGGCCTAACGTTATACTTTTACCAGTTCAGACCTAAAGTTTGCGCTTCACCTGACCAGATCTGCACAGCAAACTAAATCCATCCAAGAAACATCAGGGTTTAAACTTACCGATAAAAAGACTTCATGGAAAATCAAGAGTAACGACACCAGCAACTTGTCCGAACTTGTCACTGGCTCATCACTGCACTCCATCAACGTTACCAGGGCTAGCTTGTTACGCTGGTGAACAGATTCAACGTGGGTACCAGCGAAAGGTCACTTGTTTGGTGAACCCGGAAGTGATTTCGATCGAAACACACCGTCGTCTGCTGGTGAAACTGAAAGGTTGGTGTTTATAATGGATGTCCTTTTGATTCGTAGTTCAAAAAGCACTTAGGCCTAGTCCAGGAGTCCGAGTTAATGGGAGCGATTGCAGTTTGTACAAAATGCATCGGAGGCAATGAATGCAGCCGTGGCAGCAGATTCAGATTGTCGTCAGTGTTGCATGGTGACTGATTACTCGTTGGGTGCCCGGAAAAATGTAGTAAGGGTGAAAAATGGGTCAAAAGGCTACATTTAGGTTTTTAGGAAATTGATAGAGTATTGAAATATCTTTCATTTGGTATACATGTTGATTCAAGGGACTACGTCATTCTGACCTAATTAACAGAATGAAAAGGACAAGAGGTGGAATGAAAAGGATGAGAGGTGGTTTTACATTTCCTTTGCCCGGAATAAGGGCGTTACCACATAATACAGATGTAACAAAACATGCACCAGCGTCCCATTAAAGTGTAGATGCAGTCGAAGTCTATTCCCAGCAAAAGGTAATTAGGATTGTTACATGCCGCTTGAGGGCACATTTAGGCATGAGGAGTTCTCGGCAAAAGATCGTTTGCATAAAATGTAAATTACTGTTAAATATCAAGGTTTTTTGTCAATAAAAATGTGAATCTTATATTCATCATCAGCAACACTTCATCTCACTAAACTTCAGACTTGTGTGATTCTTTATTTACTAATGGGAGCCCAAAAATTATCTCAAAAATTAATATTTGCGTGCCTGGACTGCTAACGTCCTTTTTCTTGGCATACAACGCTGTTATATTTGCAGTACAGTAGACCTCAACAAATGCAATTGCAACGTTGATGTGAATTTTACCTTCCACGCCGTGAAATTATCCCTTGTGAAAATTTTGGTTTTTCATGTATATCACTCTGTCGTGTCTTTATATTTGAGTATTTTTGTCTCTGATTTTTAGTGTGTGCTGTTTTATCTCCATCATTTCCAGCAACAATAAATAAATGTTGGTAGGGTACCTGTGACCTTCGCTCAATGTGTTCAAAAGTGCTTGCAACAGCTATAACTTTCACTAACCTGTGCAAATGAAGCAAGTGCGAGTGTAAAACTAACCCCACAATTGGTCATGCATGGAATGGTCATGCCAAAAAAGTAGTCCAACTAAATCAAGTACATGGGTACTTGTAAAAGGCATGTGGGTGCCTTCTAGGTCTAGTCTCTTGAAGTAATAGGTGCAATTCAGGAGTAGGTTGGGATGGTATAATGTGAGAGGCAAGGCTCTCTTTTACAGTACAGGAACTCATAGGTAAACCAGATCTGTCCACTGAGCTTGTTGAGAGCTCGAGAAATTTAGGACAGGACATTGGCTTATGGGTATAGATGGCATTTTAAAAAGTATGATATAGGGTGCCTTGGCTTGCCAGAAAGAATAGGAAGCTTTATTAAAATATAATGAATCCTTACATCCATTAGCTATTTAATTTTTTTTGCCCAGAATCTGGGACTCCACACAATGCCGGGTCCTAAAAAAGGCCGCAAACGGAAACATGAGGGCAGCACAACTGATTCTGGAGGAAGCAGCAGCAATGACAGCAGTGCCACCGTAAAGAGCCGTTACTTCTCTGCGCCTAAAAGCATCACAAAGCCCAAGCCTAAAAAGGGTAAGTTAAAGTTTTCAAAAATCGTAGTTCAAACCACTAATTCTTCAGCAGAGCTGCCATATGGGGGTGAGAGGTGGGAGGAGCCAAGCAGCCCCTCCCTATAAGCTTCTGCTTCTTGATAACTATAAGCCTGAGGAAATAATCACGAACTGAATCATGGCTTTTTCTTGTACAGTGTTTAATCATAAATTTACTTGCAGTGGGATTTTTATTTTAAATGTCATCAATTATGGAACAGCAGTAGTTGGCTCAGTCTTTTCATTTGTCAAGTCAAAATTTTTCATAACATGCGTAATGGCAACTCTACTTGAAGGACTGTACTGTCTCATAAATCATACTTGATTTTTGAATTATGAATAGGCTAAACTAACCTCTAACAGATGTCAAAGTTTCACATTAATCTGTCTAACTACCATGAATTATATCCACATGTCGAGGACCAAAAAATGTTAACCATCTATCCTGGCTCATGATGTATCAACTGTGATTGAAACAGCTTATGGCTTTACATTCCTTTGCTTCTATTTGTCGAGGGTAATATTATTAGCACTTGTGAATCCTGAATGGTGAACTCATCAACAGCAGGGGACCAATTTGTCAACTTGATACATACATGTAGTTGTTTTACTCATGTCAGAGGAGAGTAATTTCCACAGACAAATTTTCCAAGAGATCTGGAAGCCATCACGAGTCTATGAAGTGCCAAATCACAAGTCTACTCACAAGCAGCAGGGTATGAATCAGAGTTTTAATGACTCGAGTCAATGACTCAACTTGGGTCCCGACGGGCAAAGGACTCGGGTCACTTCAAGCAAATGACCCAACTCACTTTAGAAACCCCTCCAATGTTAACACCATGCCCAATCATACATGCCATCCAAGTGTTAAATATTCATATCACAGGTGCAAGATTACCAGCTTCATTCTTTGATAAGCCCTGTGAGGACTTGGCCAAGTCACTACTGGGTCAGAGGTTAGTGCACTTGCTTGGCAGTGGTGAGCGTCTATCTGGCACCATTGTTGAGACTGAAGCATATCTGGGGAAAGAGGATTCAGCGTGCCATTCCTACAAGGGCAACAGGTCAAGTAGGGTGGAAGCAATGTATATGAGTCCAGGAACCTGCTATGTGTATCTCATCTATGGCATGTATGACTGTCTTAACATCTCAAGCTGTGGTGAGTAAAACACTGCTGATCCTTTTATTTCACCTCTCACAAAGGTAACTAGTCTAGTATTTATCAGCTTCGGGGGATTAGACATCGTGGACCCTGTTTGGATGATTTTGCAGCATCACTGAAAGCAAAGCCCAGCCAAGTACATGTTCTCCACACCAAAATGTTTCCTTGAACCGTCAACTACATGTAAATACATCCCTCTCCATGAGAACATGGATGTCACCACTTGAGAACATCGTCAAAAATCTTACCTATGGATGTATGTAGTGACTAATGGATTCAGACAAGCAACTTTCTAATTCAAATTAACTCATTAGTTCACCACCTCATTTTTTGAAAAGCATGATATCCATAAGTTCAGTGAGACCATGCAGAGGATACATGCCATTCTTCACTAAATATTTAAGACAAGGTGCAAACTCAGCAGCATTTTTAAGAAGTTGTCTCCACCTGATGGGGGTACATGTACTTGGTTACCCAGGTGATGGGCAAGCAGTACTCATCCGAGCCTTGGAACCCAAGGAGGGCATCCTGACGATGTGCAAGTACCGAGGCCGACGCCGCAAGAACCCAACCAAGGAGATCAAGACCAGAGATCTGTGCAGCGGACCAGGCAAACTCACAGAGGCCCTCCAGATCAACAGGGCCGAGACAAACAAGGTGAACCTGGCCACCTGTTCCAACTTCTGGTTGGAGGCGGGACAGGGTCCAGTTGAGGCAGACAACATTGTTGTATGCCCTCGGATCGGTGTGGACTATGCAACACCGGAGTGGGTGAAGAAACCGCTGCGGTATTACATCAGGGGTGAGCAATGTGTAAGCAAGAGGAACAAGGAAGCCGAAAAGGCGATGGAAAGTACTTGAAGATTGCCACTGTTAAAGTAATCTGGTGAAATGTAATGGAAAGTTGTAGACATAAAATATTGCACTTATACTGTAAAAATTATGTCACTCAAGGTCCCATGTGTCATTCTCACCAAAGTATAGAGGAACAAGATTGTATAATTTTGTAATTGACATTTTACAAAAAATCATATTTGTGCCATGGGGTCTTTTTTTTACTGAAAATCTACTGAAATAATTCATAGTAGCGTATTCAGCAGGGAAATTAGATTCAGCCAAAGCCTGTTGTGAAACTTTCATTTGTCACAATGTCACACTTTGTGAACAGCAAGGGCATTGCCATTTTCATCATTAGAAAATACGAAATGGGTAAACTGCTGTGAACCGATTTTGTTTCAGTCCAGTTTTGCTTTTGATGACTATCCTGAAGGAAAGTTTCATGCAGACTGGTTAGTATGCATCTATTTTTTTATTTACAAATTCATACAACCTTTTGCAACAAAGCACAAGACATGCTTTGTTTGCATGTGGACACAAGAAACAGAAAATAAAGAACTTTCAAAGAACATTGACGTGATTTGCCAAGATCTAGTAACATGTCTCTGGTACATCAGGAGACTGCATAGGAACATTATTCATTCATACATGTATGTCAACGTGACCTGTCACCACAGAATGAGCTGGAAGTAGGAATGTTCAAAAACTGAGATATTGGTATTTTTGAATTCAGCAGAAAGAGAGCTTTCCAGTGGTATGTACATGGAAAACTTAGCGTAGAAGTATAAGGTGACTGGAAGCTTTGCGTCTTTGTTCCCAATATTGTTTTAACATTTAAGAGCATTCACAAAAATGCTAACGTCAAAATTGCTGAGAAAATGACATTTTTAAATGTATGATCCTGCAAAATATTTGGAATTAACAGGAGACTCTTTCCAAATATTACAAAACCCAAAAAACTGACCTCCACTTCAATGTGACTTTGAGCTCTTAAAATAGGAAAGAGCAGGATGTGACTTTACTCTCACTTTGTCGTGACGGGTCTCATATGATCCAGTGCTGTAGTTCATCGCCAGTCCTAGGTAAGTCCATCAGAGGTTATCCAGTCTTAAGCAAAGTCACACACATTGCTTTTTCATTGTTCAACCAGTTACTTATGACCAGTCTTCTAGAAAGATGTTATGGACTTGACTACAACACTGATACAAAAAAATCCTCAAAAAGTAATGCGAGAATAGGATTACAACTTGTTATTGCCAACATAATGGAAACTGAAAAGTACAAACACAGAAGATACAATTTATTCAAGAGTGCTTGAATTTTTTTGTCATGCTCTACCTCAGAGAAACGTTTGTATAAGATGTGAAATGGTAATGTTGTTTGTTACTCCAGTCAAGGATAAAATTTCTATTTCAATTACTGCATAAATGAATTTAACCAGCACAAGCCTGATGCTATAGGAACTCCTTGTATGCGACTGTAGCTGCATCTTGGTGGGTGCAGACAACTAATACTTGCTTGAATTTCTCCAGGAGCATGTGGACTTGAGATCGGTTGACATTCTCATAGTACATGATCTCCTCCAGATGATGGCGACCCCGAAAGTAGGGACAAAGTCTAGGATAATTTACACATGAAACTGCAATATTTATCAAGAATTGCACTGTGCTTTAATGATTTTGAAGAAATTTTCAGAATTTAGAATACAATTAAAGACATCTTTTCCAAGTAGAATTTCCCCATCATTACTTCAGCAACAATGAAAGCAACTCTGAATAGTTGTTTTTTCTTAAAATAGTGGTTCAACCTATTCTTCCTGTTTGGTACTTAAAAAGCAGTATTCTAGAAATTGCCCAAACTTTCCTTGAACTTGGAATAAACAATATTACATGAGTGCAAACGCCCAATTGTACACCTGCATTGGCTTTCCATTTCTAGCAGTCAAATGTCACACAAACTAACCCTCCCCTGAACAAAAAAACAAACAAACCAGGTTCCCCTCTCACCTGGCAAACAGTTTGAGATCCTCCAGCTTCTTGGCAACAGGGATATTCATTACGCACTGCCTCTCCACCTCTGTCAAGTTCTCCTTCAGCATGTCCATGAATTTCTGTCTGCTGTGGCCAAGTCCCTCGTTGTCCAGCGACAGCGTAGAGTAAGAGTCCAGGCTAGTGCTCAGCTCGTCCGAATCCACTGACAAAAACCAGTTAGGTTTGCTTACTATGGTTGAACATTACAAGAGTATTTTTGAGATGTTGTACAATCAATGACTCATTTGAGAGAACCCAATTGAAATTTAGAGGAGTGACGGATAAATATGAAAAGACACCTTGATGCCATTGCTGACGAACGCCCAGTGTGCAAAGACATTCTTTATCCTGGCTGGCTGAAACACATTCACATGATTTGAACAAAGTACAACTAAAAGTAATCAAGGGAAACTGAAAGTGTTCCTTTGGTTGTAGGGCTGTGCTGAATACCTGAATATTCGATTATCGAATAATGATTTGAATATTGTTTTCCAAATTTGAATATTCAAATGCAAAATTCATGAAAAGGGAAAAATTTCTTTTGTTTGAAATGAGAAAAATGGCACTATGGAGGCTTATTTCAAGCAGATTCAAATAAAAGCAACAGAAATCTTACGATGATTCAAAAAGTAAATTATTCGTTAAAAATTTAAAAGGAATAAAAAGTAGAAGTATTGTTCGTCTCCTAAATCTTGCTTAATCGTGGCTGGAGATAATATTAGACATGAGAAGCTATTATAATGATTATAATGTACAATCGTGTGCACCATTACAACTGACTTTGTATGATTTAATCATCAACAATCTTTTGGTCGGCAAGACCAAATCTTTGGGTATTTGATCAGTGAATTCGATATTTGAATAGTGAATTATTCGAATTGACTCAGTCCTATTTGTTTGGACTATTTGTTGTGGAAATACTTATGACTCAATTTTTAAATTAACAGTTGAATTATAGAATCTTAAAAGGTTTCTGTTCTTATTTTATATTTCCACAAAGATACGTTATGACATACATACAGACTGGCATAATTTGGTCACTCATGCACGTCCATGCCCCCTCCAGCCTATGAGTAACCAGAAAAGGTTTGATTTTCCTAAGGCCAAAAGCTAGTCACTCACAGTCCCGCAGGGCACACAGAAGTGTACCACTGACCTCACTGTCAATCTATATTTGTATACTAGTGTGCGCACTAGCTGCAACCTGAAAAGACCAAGAAATCATAAAAAAATAAACCATCTAATCCAATATCTGAGTTTTAAACTCCCAGCTTTTATTAGCAGCCCCACCCCCTCTCTTCTGCTGTAATGCACTAAGGAAGATGGCAGAGAACAAAATATAACACATGAACTACAATCTCAAAAAAAATAAATAAATAGACGACCTGACAGATATTATAACGCACCTCTTGCTGGTTCTTTACGGTCACCTAGGTTCCCTAATACAGGCTAGTACGCCAGATTTTCATCAGCATGAATTAGATGCACGCCAAGAAAATTTCATACTCAAAGTTTTTGAGTGGTTACAGCACCCTCAAATGGCGAGAACAGTGAACTCAGAAACGGAATCTTGGGAAACTACAAGAATTCCTTAAATGATAACACTGCCTCCTGAATTGCTTATGAATTTTATGGTTAAATTGAAAGAGTTCCATTATAAAATCCTGAAAAGTTTCTTTTCTTATTTTACATTCTTGACAGATTTGTGTTGTAACATCAAAACACATATGGACTGGCACAATTCAGTCACCAGTGCATGCCCATCTCCCCCCCCTCCCCCAGGCCTGTCAGTAACCAGAAGAAGGTCCTATTTCCCATGGCCTTCAGTCTCGGGAAATAGTCCCCCCTTCTGGTCAACCACAGGCCCTTGGGGTGCGTAGATGTGCACCAGTGGCCTTATTGCTGGTTTATGGGTGAATTATAAGACTTTCCCAGGTGAGCAAAGTCTCCAGGCAAAAGATCACAGTACGTCTTGCTCTTCCCTAATCCCATTTCCATAACAACCTATGCTCACTCGACATGTTGTCTGCAACATTTCCTGTGGAACTATGGTGTGATGGGTTGGTGCTGGCTGAGCTGTTCTTGTCCTGTGATGCTGACGATGATGGGGACGTCTTGACATGCTGGTCGTGAAGGTCCAGGAGTTGGGTTGGCCTCTCGGTTGGCATCATCAGGAATACATATGTGTGAAGCTGCAATAAGAAATCAGCCAAGCTGAATGAGCTTTCATGCACAATCTCTCAACAACTTTCTTGAGAGCTCTGAAATGTAAAGCTTTTGGTTTGTTGTAGACACATTTACACAAACAAGTCTCTGTTTGTCTTCATACACATGGAGAAAGTAAAGTTGTACTGGTTTCACCTGTATGAGAAGCCTCTTCTGCAGCAGCCAGACAAGAATTTTCACCTTCTCAGCCTCATTCTGTCAACACAAAAACCGTGAAGAGATTCATTAAAAGTATATGTATCTGTAATACGTAACTTCTTTTGCTCCAATTCAATTGAAAATAAGAGAGCAGGGGGTGACTGAGGTGAGGGTAGGGGGGCAGTTTGTACCTCTTTCTCTCCAATGTTCGTGACATCGCTGAACAGGGTTGGCTGTGAGAATGCGGCTAGGGCCTCTGTTAGGCACCCTCCTGCTGTGACATCACGGAACTCTTCATGGTGCGGGGAATTTCTGAACAAAAATTTATGAAGGAAGATGTTTTCTTGTCTGTCTTAGAGTCGATGTCTCAGAAAGAGATGTAGGTAAGTTGTACTGGCATAGCAGCCTTGACCAGAAAAGGGTCTGATATTTGTCAGAACAAATCAGCTTTTTTTACGATGCATCATTTCAAGTTTGATTTTCTGTCTATTGGTTACAGCACGGATAAAAAGGAGAAAAAACCCTATTTCCAGTCCTTGTGGTACATGTACGTTATGATTATCTCAAACTTGACTTCAACAAGCCAACCGACCCCAGCAAGCTTCGTGGTCGAATGAATTAAATGTCTGCACTAGTTAGCTGGAAATAGAGGGCTTAAGTCCAAGTGTGTCATGACATTTTTGGCAAAATCTCTGACAGTAGTAAAGTCTCTGTTAGATTTTACAAAATAAGGGTCCAAAACAGGCACCAGATTTTACTAAACTCCTTATTGAAAAGACTTACCCTGATGTTGGGGCCCTGGGTGACAAGATGTACACATTACTGCCACAGATAGGATAGATTATTGTTGCTTTGCCCCAGTAGACCATGTGACCTACAATCTGAAACACCTACAAGGGAAACAGAAGGGACATTAGTCCATCTCTGCCAACAACTGTATGATTGAAAAGAGAAAAACTCAGCACACCTCTGGATAATGTCTCAACAAGCTAATCTCCCATTTATTATATAAACACATACAAAGCTTGACAAGTTTGGGGAGGTGGATTGCAATTTGAACTTGACTGAACTTGGCCAATGCGCATGGCCTATTGTGGTACCATATACAGCTCTTTGGGCACAATGTGGAAAAGTATGAGGCTGTGGTACAAAAATATCCTACAAGTACAGTGGAACGCCGTTGTAATATATGTATATATGTTGATTCTTTGGAAGAAGTGGGTGTTAAAAAACACGAAAACAGAACGTTAAACTTCCTATGGCATGCAGTGCCAGCGTTTGCATTGAGGTGTGATATTTTTCACGTGTAATGCTGCATGCAATAAGGGAACTCCACGAATGGATTGGGTTTGGTCTGGAATTTTTTAGCTGGACATTATTTTCAGATGAGTACATTTATGTTCTGCCTGCTGGGTGGGCCATCGTACGTAAGCATGGAAGCTCAGCAGTTTTCGGACATGCCTTTGCTCGAACAACATACCTTTTAATGAAAATAAGCCTTAACATTTTTCAACTTCATTAAACCAAACATGGACAGAATGACTCGTATATACACAGGTGTGTACGTGTTATACTATGGTAGGAAGAAGTTTATACATTCTACACGTTTGATAACTCAAACCTCAGTTGATAAAAAATTTGACTTAGGCTATCCGGATTTCGAGCCAAAGAAAGTTCCCGAGTCTTGCTTACGTACATGTACATGAACAGGATCAAAACACTACTAGCCTCCCGCAGTGACTATTGGAGACATTATAAGGGGTTATTGCCTATAGCGGTATCCAACAACAAATTCTTCTAAAAATCATCAGTTTGCCGAGGTTTCATGTTTTTATTATGAATGTAAAATTTTCTTTTCCACTGAGAAGTATAACAGAAACCACCAAACTGTGTACTTTTTGTGACATTTCTCTCGCACGCCGCGGTGCGATGCGTACAGTGCCTGCTCGATTGGCCAGTGGGGTTTTTCTGTTTGATCACATGATCATTTCTTTTCAATTGCTTGAGGGCTGACCATTTTGCATTTCAAAACGTTTGAGTATAAAAAATGATTAAATATAGTTGTGTGTTTTCTTTGTCTTTTTAATCCTTCCCCTTTCCTTTTTTACCTTTTAAAAAAAAGAGTGAGATTTGGCAATGCAAAACAGCGCATTCCCAGCACTGCGTTGGGAACGCATGTCCATTTTGTCTACAGATGGGCTAGGACTGGCGATGCTCAAGTGCTTCGGCTGCAATCGGGCAGGCAGCAGAAGCCAGGCTTTAGCCACGCCTCTTAAGCACAATGCTTCCTTCGGATTGGTCGCATGGCCACTTCAAAGAATCCACGATTGGACTGCAAACATGGGGTACATTTGGGCCATGATAGCAATCAGGCTTGCATGAAAGGTAGGATCTTCAGGGCAGTGGTCGAGACAAGTCAATTACAGTGGTACCGGCAGCAATCATGCTCGCTTCCAGCAGGCAATAATGCAATATCCAGACTTTCAAGACTGGTACATCCACAAGTGATGCAAGCAGATTCGGTAGGAGTTTAAGCAACATGTACCACTTCAAGAAGTAAACCTCAGATAAGAACTTTTAGACAGTTCAGTCTGTTCAGCTTAGTATAGAGTCCATTTATGTTTGAGGGCTTGTAACTTTATTTTCGGTGAAAAATCCGTTTGATTGAAAGTAAGAGTTGGAATTGAAAATAAAGCTGAAATGTTATATCCAGGAATGATAAAGTTAACTAAGGGTTTCAAAGGTTTTTGGGAGAATTTTCCAGTGACCTCAGACATCTTTTTTCATTCAACTCCATGGCAGGGGCTTTGATATGCCGGTGAGGGAGGCTCCATTGCTACGCTCCTGGCCGACACCCAGGCGGTGTACGGTCCAGTTCCATTGTGTGAAAAACCACGTTGGCTGTAGCTTTTGCAGAATGCTTGGGAAGGGTTTCTATTGTTTAGTGTAGAGTGTGAAAAACATGACAGGGGTTTCCTCTGGGTTAGATTGTGCCAGTCAAACTACAAACAATAGATTGTAGGATGGATGAGTGTTTGATCAACCACAAGACCAGTCTCCAAGTCCGGTAGCTGGTCCGGTATGAAAGGGGTTCTTGCTACCAGACTAGCTTACTGGGGGGCCCTTCCCTTACTGTATCTCAATGGTCACCGTATCTAAGGTTGCAGTCCATAACTCACCCTGACTGTCCTCAATCCAACAAGACATTTGTGCAATTCAAAGCGTGCACCTAAGAACAGAGATGGCACTAGCCTATGCCAAAAAAATTGGAAAAATCGCTCAGTGTTGGTTTTATACATATTAATGCATGGGTCTGCGTGCATGTACAAAACATGCATCTTCACCATCTCGTCGGCTATAAAAACAAAAAAGTTCTTTCTTAATCATCACCAGTCGATCACAGTCATGAGTTGCAGCCTACATGTAGGCCAGCCTGCTGTTTTTTACTCAAAAAGATACGAACATGACAAAAAGCTTTCTGCCCGATCGGAAGTACGCAGTGTTATGGTCATGACGGTAATTGGTAGCCGGGTAGGCTTACCTGGCAAACAAAAGCTTTCTAATATAAGTAGAAATGAAATCACCATTGTCGTCCTTTTCGTCGAGCCATCTCCACTAAATTTGTCCTTGATATCTCTTTCAATATCCTGAAGATCCTTGTTTCTCTTGACAATTAGATGCTGCATTTTGTCGGCCCTCGAACATGAAGGCGATCCACGTGTTGATCATCCAATTTACATGTACAATGTACGTTTGTTGTATACGTTCATGCATCGCCCATGTCGCATGTGCATGCATCGAGCTGTCCATGACAAGCGATTTACATGCGTTAAAGGTCAATATTTGAAACGTATTTCCAGTCACTGACGACACCACTCAACACTGTCCTTCGTATTTCGCACCACAATATGACTGACATAAGCACTCTACTGACGACTGCGCACAAGATTAAATACCCAGTTGTAAGGAGCAGGATACATGCACATCATAGATTTGCTTCCAGTCATGTTGAAAACATTGAAAGGGGAAATGTGAAAAAAAATCGGATTTGGGGAGAAAAATACCAAAAAGTCGGATTTCCGATTAAAATCGGAAAAGTAGCATCTCTGTAAGAAACAGTTCCAATGAAATCCCCACCTGTGACAAAGCCAGATCTGTGTCTTGACTAAGCTGCTGCAGGCTTTTCAGCGGGGAGCACCACTTGACGACACGGCGCAGCGACGGCGAGCAGTCCTTGGGCAGTGACTGCTGCAGCTCCTTCTCATCTTCCAGGAGGAGGAGGGCGTGGTAGGGTCTGATGGCAAGCAGGCTCTGCTCTATGATCTCTGGCTGTGGGAAGCAAGAGGAATTCACTGTTAACAGCAGGCTGTGATGAAAAGCAGTATGGGGTAGAGAAACGTAAGAGTCCAGTGCTGTGAGACACTTCAACTCACTGGCACATGACTGTTTCATTATCTTTGGTAAGTTTTGGCAGCTGAGAGAGCTCTCTGGGGACAAACACTGGCAAACGCTGATAAATGATGGCAATAACACCAACCAACAGCTCCAAGATCTCCCGACTACATGGTTGTAAAATAAAATTAATCTAAGATAGTGGCATACATGAAGTTCATCTGTCTAGGATGCTAATTTCTAGGGGGGGGCCTTAAGTCTTTCAAGAGTAAAGTTTGGCAATATTTTTTCCATAGAGAAATTAATCATCTGTCAGGTGTATGTAAGGGGAATAAATTTAAAGAAATGTCAAGTATAGAAAGATTTGGGACTTTCTTTGTATTTTTGCCTCATTTTTCAGGGGAGGAAGAATAAGAGGGTGATTTTACTGCAAATACCCACGGACGTGTTTCCACTGACGACATTTCGACATGACTTTTTCATACTGAAATAAGCCATCTGTGATCAACAATTCCTAAACCAAGGTGAAGAATTATAAACCAATATCTGGGAAATGACACCAATTAATAAAGGATATTCTCTCCCTTTTTAGGGGGAGGGAGAGGGGTGAGGGAGGGTGGGACAATCTTACCTCAATGACAAACATCTGATCCACATTGTGCACCTTGTGTGGCAAGCAGAAACTGACTTCGATCCAGTTATTAATGAAGACGTGAATAACACCTTTGTCGCACAACCTGTTGATATACACACATGAAACAGATGTGCTTAGGGTAAACAAACGCAAGACCGCTAAGTTAACAAGTGGTATGTTGGAGGCAAGCACTTGGTGCTAACTATGTTGCAAATTGCTCCTACTGTGTGGCCTAGTGGTTGGGGTTTGTGACTCAAGACTTTAAATCCAACTGCTGGTTGCACGCTGTGACCTTGGGAAAGTCACTTTACTCCCACTAACCCTCTTTCTACCCAGGAATACAAATAGGTACCAGAAATGCCAGAAATAATTTTGTTTGTTTAGCCATTTGCTCCATAATGGGCAACGTTGAGCTGTATACTTCCCAGGAAGCTGTGAGCGTATACAATAATCAAGTAATGGAGCTACAATCTCTTTCCTGGAATAGTGAGTAAGTTAAGTCCATATTCCTATTAATATCATCATTATCAATGAAATTGTACATACCCACTGAATACATGTCGGAGGTCTCGACAAAGCTTACTCTTCTGAAGCATGATGGAGAATGGTGATTCTTCAGCATCTGTATTAATGTCACAGTTGGGCAAGTTACACACTTTTGTGACTGAGAATTTGAGGTTCAACAGAAACACATGGATAAAGAACTAAGATCAGGAAAAATTACTAGAATGTAAGGGTGTGCATTTATGGGTACTTCTAGAGCCAGGTACCTGTTTTATGTCAATGACGGGTACCCAGTTACCCTTAAAATATAAAGAATACTTAACAACGGCATCGTGTGCAATCCCCACAGACCATGTGCAGAAAACAGAGCTCTTTTTATGTACACAGGAAGCAGCACATTGTTCTGAATGTGAGGGGAATCTCCCTCACCATTTTACAAAATGAAATTTATACGTGGACTTTTTTTGGAAAGAGTTATCATACATGTGGACAGCACTTGATGCCCCTGTGCACAAACTTATGAGACATGTCTGAAATGGAAGGGGGTGGCCAACTTTGAGACCCCTAAGAGGGGGGGGGCAAAATACCAAACCTGATGAAACCTGTTTGCTACCCCCTACACCAGTGATAGGATCCATTTACACACATGAAGTCTGTACGGAAAAACACTCAGCAAAATGGTTTCTTATGCATTCAGGGCAAGCAAACCCCATGATAGCATAACCCATCTGGTTCGTAAGTGCGATGTCACTTCAATAAACCACGCCCACTGCACACGTGCACTGCACATAGAGTTACATGCATTGATTGCCGTTTACGTGGAACCATGGAACCGGAGGTTAACATGCAACTTCAGCGATCGTCCAATGGGAGCCTGCCCATCGTGGCGCGTTTGCCTTTGTGACGAAGTCACTTACGAACCGGATAGTATTTAAAAACCTGAACAATTTTTCCACACATAATGTACCACGCTGAGATGACTTGTTCTGGCCAATCAGCCTTCTGGTCATGTATGATGTCGTGGAAAGGCTGGCATGATTCTTCTTGTGAAGCGATTTTGTTACTGTGACGAGTCAGTAGTTTGCATACTGAATGGGTTTCTGCCTATTGTGTACCCGTACATAGAATTTGTGACAATGCTATCCTCTACACATGAAGGTATTGCTTGTTTGAGTAAATGGTCCTTACTTAGTGATTCCATACTGTAAAACCTCAAAATCCCCATAACATTCTACCTGGAACAGTCAATGGCAACACCGTCACTGATTCAAATACTCTGAGGGACCCCTTCCAACCCACCTACAAATGTGTCCCATGTCACAAGCTTGACCCTAACATCACGCAACAAGACCAAAGTACCTCACCATAAGCAGATATGATACCGGCAAATACAGGAGACGAGTGAAGAGGCTGGAGATGCAGGATGGGATCAAGAGAAAGTTCCTCTGGTCTGAGACCCCCTAGCCTAGCCCCATTTTCTTTTAATCTTTTTCTCCCTGGTGGGCTGCTTTCTCTTCTCTGATGTTTCTGTAGGTCAATTCTGAACTCCTCTCTTTTTTTTTACCTTCCGGCATGGCAGCCACCTCATCGTGGGCAGACATCATGAGGACGGCTTGATGGCTGAGATATCCACACCGCCTCTCCTCGTGCTTCAGAGCCAAGACAAGACGCTTGCTGAGGTCGTGGTAACATCCAACCACTGATGGATCAGCACTGGCCTGCATTGAGAAAGAGTGAGAGAGAGAAAACACTGACCACTCTGGAGAAAAAAAAGACAAGGACCCAATATCCATGTGTAAAAGAACCGCAGACTGTGCTTCGTGCAACAGTGTTCTTCAATTGTGAAATGCGTTACCCCCAATTTATTGCATTCCCTATATGATAGAAAGCCAACATAATGAACACCACTATGACCAATATTCAACTGTGATGAACAACCCTGTAGCCATCTGGAAATGGGTACCGTGGCTAGACATCAGTTTGGAAAAATTTAGACGAAAAATTATACAAGAACAAAATACTATGTGCCAGAAGGAATACGATTGTTGAACATCTGAAAACTACACAACAGAAGTGCCCCTCATTCCACATATGTATTTAATTTAACCTCAAATGTCTCCCTTTAAAAAAGGATCTGCATCTCAAGGTACCATCCCATGTTGTCACGTGGAGATGACAGCAAAGAAAATTGAATATTTTACTCACATGTAGTACAAAGACTAGGTTGAACATTGCCATGGTGCGACTCTCTCGTCTGGACTTCTCATCCTGTCTTCTCTGTTAAATACAATCACAAAGTAATGATCTATACTGTGCTCTGAACACAGATTAACCTAAGCTATCAATACAAATGAAAAAATCTACAGGGGATATTTTTCCTGAAGAGATTTGACATTGGCAGGACTTTCACAAAGTTGATTCAGTGGGGAAATAGCACTGCTGTTAAACCTTTGTTGTTGATTTCAGAAGTATGGGAAGTTACACATTTAATATATATTAAACATATTTAATTACCGATTTTCTGCCTTCACCGACTATGAGGGTTGGGTGGCCGACAAATTTAACATCATCGATGGTCAGCTCAAAGCGGTGGTCACACAAGCCAGTTTCAGTGGTCAGTATGTGGGCAAGAATCTCATCAGAATAGCTATGAGGAAACATGTGCAGAGAAACAGGAGCATATTAATACATTAAGAGACTAGTTGTTATGTTGAGAAATTTACGGGGATTTGTAAGGTAAAGTACAATGGACAGAATGGATGACATTGTTGAAATGCCAATGTTATCACATTACATCATAAAATGTTAATGCCAGACAACATTTCACAAAATATTTCTGGCCTATAGCAATCACACGCAACGAAACGAATCAAACCGACAAAATGTATCATAACAGATTAAATGGCCCAAGTATTCACTCGATTTTAGTTCACCACAGATTTAAAGAAACCCTAATGAGCAAAGGTAGTGGACAAAGTAGTTTTTCCACACAGACCAGCATCCATTTGTCCAGCTCAGACGGGACAAATATTCTTACACAGCTTGTCCTTTAACAACATACGCAACCAGCAAGTTCTCACCCAACAAGCTTTCCATGTTTGATGCTGGATGCAGGTTTGCTGTCATTCAAATCATCCTCTGCAACCTGCAGTGCATAAGGATTGCGTGTTCGATCTGCAGAGCAAATTATATACGCAGCGTTAACGAATAATCATGAATCACGGAACAGACGGTACTCTTCAAAAAAATTCAGAACAATCTGACAGATGTACATGTACTGACCATATTACTTACATTTTCACTTTCATGTACACTGGGGTTAGCATCCATGTAAAGCTGGCCTGACATGCCTGCTTTTTCTTTTTATCGCACGGCTGTTTGACTGGACTGACATTGGAGGGCACGCAACATGCACTATGCTAGCTGTGTAGCTGCAAGAGGTAAAACAAGATTCCAACCCCCATCTCCAAAAACTGTTGAACCGACTTGCAGGGAGCTAGCTTGGCCACTAGCCCCCCCCCTGGCATATACAATGTACACAAAGTGTACGGTAAGGTGCGATCGTGACTTAATGCCCCCAGAACAATGGGGTTTATTGTCCACTGCACTCCCACGATGAGCCCCACAGTTCTGGGGCCAGTGAGGAAAAACTCTGAATTTTCCAAAAATGGTCGGTGTTAATAACCCGCTATGAGCTTTTGAAGAGCTCTAATTATAAAGTACATGTACATGTACCTCACAATTTGATTGAGGGAATGGACTTTGCATCACCAGTAATTTACTTCAGAGGCTGGATTCCAAAAACATTTAGGCCTGGAGAGTGAACATCCTGGATTTCCGTTGGGATAATTTTGAAAACCCATGAAGCTTTTTTCATTATTCATTAGTTGGTGTACATGTACATACTGCGCATCAATAGAGAGTACTTGTCCATGCAAAGAGGGCCAACCATGAAAGTACGCCATTTGCACATGGCGCACTACAACTCCCAATTTACTTTGCACTTTGCAGCCAATTTTTAACCATTCCCAACAGGAAAAACAATTTTTCTGAAATAATAACTTGTTGGAAAATAATGAAATTTTGGGGCTGCTGTTTCAGCAGTATGCCGGCAGTGGACAGAAATCCGGGATATTCATTCTCATGGCCTTAATGATACAACCCTAAGTACCAAATAAAAAGGCCTTAAGGCACACAGGGAGGGTTGTGCGGTGTTTTGGTTTCTAGAAGTACATGTACACTAACTCTACTGAGTGGAGCATTAGTATTCCTCTTTTTTGATTTTGGATGGGATCGTCATACTAATGCTCCACGATATTACATACGTGTATAGTGAAAGGGTGAAAACGATTCCCAAAAATTCCAAAGACTCACTAAAAATACCTTTCTCCCTACCTACTGGCTTTCTTAAATGCCAAAGTAAAACTTTTGGCATGTTTGGGGATTTAGTGATATTTCTAACTTCAAAATCTGTCAAAGTCTGACCGTTTTCGCTCTTCGCCACCTCCTCTCATTCAAAAACACACATCTAGATTTTTCCTGGCTCAATAACTCTTGACTGTCATGACTGTGACGTGGGCCAGATGGACTAACCTTACGTTAGGCCCTAGATCATGGCTTCAACACAAGTCACCACAACTACAAAAGTACAATAGGCCTACTGAGTACTAGTAGTACTGGTAACAGTACCTACCCCCAGAACCGTCATAACTGGGGTTGGGGGTTCGTCGTTCACCACACTCCCAGGACAAACAGGCGACGAACACGCCACACAGTTAGGCACAGCCTACTCTAGTACTGGGCTCGTAAACTACATGCACAAGCAGACTAGTAAGTTACATACTCTTTTGTACAACTTCTTCGTCACTTTCCTGCTGGTAGGGATATCGGAAGAGAAGTCGATTTCCTTTTGAACCGGACGACACTAAAATAACACTCAGTGGAGTTGACCTTCCAGGCATTTTTGCTTCGTCGCACCATGTGTCCCTTCCTCCATCGGTACTTGTCTTGCTTCCTTGCGTACGGACATGTATGTTCACGTATGTACATATGTACGTACATGTAGTTCCGTGTTCGATAGTTCGGATTGTGCATCCAAACTGCTCGAGTGGGCAGTGTGCTGTAACAGCGCCCCCTAGAAACCCCTGAAAGGGTTGCTGCAACGCAAATAAAATATATACTGTACATGTACAAAATAACTTCCAAAATGCACCTATATGTATAGTCTCGGTATGTAAGAAGCAAATTCAGCAATACACTATTCCTTCCTCCATGGTCTCAGTTAACCTCTTTTCAATTTTTTGTCTATTTTAAACGTTATTTTGCTGCATTTTTGGTTTATATGCCAATGAGTATTTCCATATTCACGATTGCTGATTTTTTTAAAATCTTTTCGCTAAGCCTTATCTTTCTTTGGTGATACATTGTTATGGTATTACAGTATTAAGCAAGCACGCAACTCATTGTCAAAAATGTGTTCGCCAAGTAAATTCTAAGTTTACAATTTGAACCAAAAAACTGTACTCTGAAACATGTCTTCCCTTAACGACATCACAGCAATAGTCCCCTCATTTGTCCAGGAAATCATTAGCAATGTTTAATTCTTAAACAGTGCACTTTTCAATTTACAAGGCATGCCAAATAATTTTCATACATTAAAGAACAGTATATAACGTTTCAGAAGCATTATGTCTTTGAAAAGTTGTTGTTGCTATACACTTGGAAGATGTACTTTCGACTTGCATCAAACCGGTGCACTTTGTGCAAGGCCACTTTTTGTCACGTGTTGGCTTTTGGGAAATTCAACATTAACATAAAGATGCGCTGTTGGTTTCTGGTTACCAAAGCGTGGGGGAAGTGATCAAATGGACCATCCAGCGCGGTTTGTTTGCAGGGGGTGGGGTATTACATCCTAGGCCTAGGAGGTACACCCTGCCCTGTCTGTAAAAAACGATGTGTTTACTCTTGTTACGTGCTGAAGTTGAGAAGTAATGAAAACTCCACAAAATGATCTTTTTGAAAAAAGGCCAGATTATGAACTTATGTTCCAAAGGCGATTTGTAGAGTTCGTGTAATAAACTAGTTTTGACAAGGTGAGAGCTTCAGGTACGTTACTGCGTGTATCATAAAATCAGTAATTATTTTTTTTAATTGGCCACCCTAGGGTGGCCATCTAGGGCATTTCCATGGTTAAGGCCTATTTAGGTGCCCTGCATTCATAACACCTATTCAGGGTCACTCTGACAAAATTAATTGCAACTATTAGATGCAAATGAATATAACAATATACAGCGTTATCTAAAAAGTCCAACACCGAGCTGAATTGTCGAATTTTCTTCTGTACGCACAATACGAGCAGCGCCCTCTTGCACGCTTTTTGTGCTACTTTAAGGTCAGCGGGCATTTCAGTACAGCTGGTGTGATTTGATAGAATTCTATAATTTTTGGGAGAATAAATGAATCAATGTTTTGTGCATCATCAAGGTTATGCAAAGCTGGAACTTGAGCTGTGATTCATTGCCGGCAGCTTCTTCGTTCACGAAATCTACATTATTTTTCTCCGACCGAACCTGCTGGAGGGAAACCAGGTGAGCTGAGGGCTGTGAGCATTTAAACTTTGGCCTTGCGAAAAGATAAAACAGTCAGAAGCATGCGGCTGCGGGGAAAATAATTTTTATGAGCCAGTTCTGATTTCTGCCAAACGGACTGGCGGTGAAAATGGCTAACAAATTGACTGTTGTTATCCCAAGGGCATCGTTCAAACAGCTCCGCCTGACCTTAGGTCAAAGGTCGATGTACGCTAGGGATTTGAATTTACCAGCAGTTTATCATCATTTACGTTCATTGCTTTCACAGATGGAGAAAGTTTGAGTGGACATAAATTATATATAAATTCAACCAGGAAACTCGTCTCTTAGAAATGCCAAAGAAATTTACGACTCATGAATCGTACTGACTGTTCATGTTCATTTCTTAAATCTCTGATTTAATTTACTCTATAATGAAAAGTGGTTTGGTATTTTTGGGTATAGACTGTTGCATAATATTATTTACACATTTGGCAGCGGCATCATTTCTTCCATACATACTGAATAGCACGTTTCGGATTATATCAAAAGGAGCCTGGTCAGAAAAGAAGAAAAGGAAAAGAAAAGAAAATTAAACATAAAAAGATTTTCACGATTGTTTTATGTACTGGTGTGGTGCCAAGTACAGTGATGACGACAACCACACCCCTAAAAATATCAGTTTATTGTAATATTGCATGATAATGGAATACCGCAAACGACAAGCACTTAACACGCAACACTAACAATGGGTATGGCTCTGGCTATTCCAGCTTGCAGACCAAAGGTGTACAGCCTAGAGTTACACCAAAAGCAGTTATACATCTGCTTATCTGATAAATAGTGGGGACAGATGTCGGCGCACCGGTTATCTGTAATCCCAAGGCGATTGCCCTAAAGTTAGGTCATCCTTCTCAAACACTTTAACATTTTACCAGCTGGCTGCTTGATGTTTACAGCAAAAGCGAAAATTCAAGCAGGGCAGCATCACTGCAGATGGCAACACGGCTGACGGGACATTTGTGAGGTTATTGTACGGACAAAAAGTGAAACGAGAATCATTATGTAGGCCCAAAGGAGAATTCCTGGTATTGATCTCATCATTTTCAGAATCCCTTTTTCATACAACAAAGTTTCTAATCCAAAGCTCACAAACGACGCATATAGAACAGTTGAGCACAGCTCTGGTAACCAGCCTCACCTTCTCGTAAATGGGGAAACTTTAATAATAATAATAATAATTCAAACTTTATAATGCGCAGTTTCCATACAGATGATCAACGGCGTATGACATGCCCGGAACAACTTAAGGAAATAAATGGATATTTAAGTAATGAATGAATGTCATCGCGCTAGTACCCAAACCGCAGTATGGGGATTCCTCTGTTTTGCGCGAACGGGGAATAAAATTTCACCTGGACTTAACGCTCCTGGCAACAGTAATGTCTCGATCTTTCCAGGGGACAGACGTCTCTATTCCTTCCTACACTGTAAGAAAGCTAACTATACTACCAGACACGGTGACACTAAAATAAATGACAGCTAAATCTACATTAAAAGAAAAAAATAATACACCTACTGGATAAAAACCCGCAACAAAAACCAAATATCTTGCAGTGCAACATCATCGTGCAAATACATCATTAAAAAGACAAGTTTTAATTTAACATTTCAAAACGGTAAAACTCTGTCAACAAAAATGTTTTACCAATATTCATCAAATATTTCAACACAGGCCTACGTCATACTAAAGAACTCCAGCAACGCCTCAAGGCCTTCATCAGACTAAGTCATCGCTTCACACTCCTCAAAAAAGGCTGCTGCTTTCAAGTATCCGATTTCATCTGGATTTCGCATCAGCAAAATATTAGTGACTTCTTATCGACCCCGGATTTGTGAAACCGTTCCCCGACCTCTCTCCACAAATCCTTGGAGAAAACGAGGGAACAAAACCCCCGAGTTGCAAAAGGTCATGATCGATCGTTTTCATTTACTTTATGTTCTTGCTATCTTATCTTGGCGTACGTGATCAAAGAAACCCCTAGCGAATAAGGCGTAATGTCCATAACGATGGGAACAGTGCCGCGTTGAGTCCGTATCCTAGCCAAATCAAGGGGGATTTAAAAAATATGTGCATGCATCACGGACCACGTACCGGTATTCAACTCATATTTACATGCTTGCAATCTGTACATTCATTCATTCATTCAGTAATATTTAAGTTGTTTCAAATTGTGTTGATTTTGGAATGAGTGCCCGGTTTGACGAAAAACAACTTTTTTATCCTCCTCTAGCAGAAGCACCCCCTCATCGGTTGAAAAGAGCCATCATGGTCGGAAGTGTTCATTTGTTGGTAGCGATGCGACCGTAATGCGTGCATTTCACAGTCGTTGGTGAACCGGCAAAGTTCAGTTTCGACCAAAGGAGCCCCTGTTGCTAAAACACATTGCACCTCTTTTGGTCAAGCTCGAGGGTCATAATCTTTGCGTTTGGGACACAAGGGGTCCTGTACACGGTATTTTTATTTTAAGGCCGCTTTGATGTGAAACGCGACTGAACAGAGAAGCAATAGCTTAGGCCTACTTGCATCAAGTTGTTGGTTGTTTGATTGTTGGTTGGACATTATGGTGAAGAAGTGTTTCGTTGCATAGCCCTAACGGTACCACAAATCCTTCAATGTCAATATGATTTTACATGCAGCCTAGGGGGTTAGAGTTAATTATCATCAAACATCCGTCCTTGCTACTTGGCCTGCGTGCATGATGGAATACGTGCGTTTTACAACGGTGTGCCTCCAAGAGTTTGCAACGCACTGGCCAATCATAATGCGCGAAATCCCTCGACCCAATGCGCGTTTTGGAAATGGTCGACAGATTTCGTGCATTGTGATTGGCCAACGCGTTGCATATTCTTGGAGGCGTACATTGTGAATTGCCCGTATTACTGAGATTCTCCTTAAGGTAAAATGATATAATTCGTTAGTCAAAACTACATTTCCATTTCTAAACAGGTTGGGTTATCACAAAGTTGTTGTTCTCGTTTGCTCCGTAACTGAGTTGTGTGCTTGTCAAATTTGTGAAAGACTCGGAAGGTTGGCGAAAATGACAACTTTCTCTACAGACCCTACACAAACCGGGCTGTCCATTGATGATTGAACAAGTCGCCGGTGTTTTCACAAAGTGAAAAACCCAAAATCTTGCAAAACGGACAATCTGAGATAAGCGCGTTTGAAAATACCAACCTTTTCTTTCTGTTGTGAATGAGGTCTAGGGGTTGAAGAAAATGTTTGTTAATACGGAAAGAACGTGACCGCATGTTCTTGGAAAGTACAGTTACAGAAATTCATCCTGTGCCATCGGAAGTAATTTAGCATGAACCCAATACTGAAGTAAGGTTGGGACGAACAACTGACTTACATGAATGTAACTGTTCAACAGGGATTTCTGCGCAAGATTTTTTAGAAGTTAAAGTAACTGAACTTATTCTGAAGGTGGTTCAGGAAAAAATCGCTTATGGGCATTTTCGTTTTCCTTACTTGCGTGACATAATGATATTGGAGATTTAAATAACATTTGGGGGGATGCATTTAG